GATTTCAAGAAAAAGCTAAAGATATGTATAAATTCTTAAAAAATAATGAATCTCTCCTTTGGAACGCTAAAGGTGAAATTATTTATGAAGATAAAACTGTTCCTGGAAGTAATATAGTAAATCTTATCAATGACTTTTTGCGAAATAGAAAATCAGCTCCAGTGGGGAGAAATGTATTTTTAAAAACATTAAATGATATTCAATTACCATCACATTTAGATGTAAATAAAAAATTGTATAGTAAAAATAAAATTGTTAAGAAACCTATGATGTATGCCCGCAGAAGTGCTTGGGTGAAACTTTGAATAAAATTTTATTTATTTTATTAAAATGTATTTTGTCTTTATTGATCATTTTTCACAGGTGAAAAAGTTTATATTATCAAGAAAACTTTCACCCTTTATTAATTAATACAAAAAGTTTTAGAAAAATAGATAAAATTTTCTGTAAAACTGGAAATTTTTTTTGCAAAAAAAATCAATATTTTCTTAAAAGATAGAATTTTTTTTATAAAAATAAAAATATTTTCTGAAATATTAGAAAGTTTTGTTAAAAAGTTTGAACTATTTTTACGAAACTAGCAAATTTTTAACAAAAAGTAAAAATATTTTCTTAAAATAGAAAATTTTTGTGTAAAAAAATAAATATTTTCTTAAAAGATAGAAAAATTTTGTTAAAACGTTTGAAATATTTTTACAAAAACAAAAAAAAATATTATCTTAAAAGAGAAAATTTTTTTGCAAAAAACATAAATATTTTCATAAAAGATAGAAATTTTTTATAAAAATAAAATTATTTTTTGAAATATTAGAAAGTTTCCATCAATAATAAAAATATTTTCTGAAAATTTTGTTAAAAAGATATAAAAATGTTACACTATTGCCTACATAACAATATTTAAATGTAAAATTTTATAATAATGACATGAGAGACACTAGATTTAGTTTCGTTCTTTTTTTATTTTCTAAACACAAATCTTACACCATATTTTTTCTTTACAAATTGATACATCTGAAAATCATTTACATATAATTGATTTGAAATATGATACATAGAATAGCCTTGACAGCGTTTGAGTAAAAAGTAAATACAATATTGTCCACATACATTGGATGTAGGTGATTGAAACACTTTGGAATTCCATAGTACGTTCGTGTAGGAAGCGGTTTTCACGTTGTAAAATCCGGGAGACTTCCCATATGAGTCATAAAACTCTAACTGTCTTTGATCATTCACAAATAACGCTATCCAGTGAGTCCCAGGTTGTGATGAGTCATCTGAATTCGTGATAGCACATGTGTTTTCTCGGAGATTCGGAAGCGTATCTCTTGAATATACGCCTTGAAAGTAAGGTGATGTTATCTTATCTTGCGATAAAATGT